AACTTTTTTGGCACAGTAGTAATCCATCACATCAGAACTGGTCTAGTCCGTATTATTAACCAGTCACAGATAAAAAATCCCATGCATAGCTCTTTTCATAGTCTATAAATTTCTGGTATTACCTCTTAAGTTTTTCCATTGCTTTTAACTTCCCTGCCCTTACTCCTATTCTTTTCAGAGATAGAATTGTTTCAAAATTGGGATTATCGGCTCTTTCCTAGTTTTAATATTCTTACTAGTTATTTATCATGCTATCAAATAATTCCTTTGTTCATTTCCCCCTTTAAGTTTATTGTCGTTTTAAGTGCATTTCATTATTTAATTTTGTTCTCCCTCTCACAGCTGATTACTGACCAGTCAAGGCAATCCAGATGGGCTTTTTGCTGCCTTTTTTTCTTCTTCTTTCAGGGTTTTATGGTATTTGTTAGTTGAATCTGAGACTTTTTTGTGTTCTTCAGTGATGACATTTTTGTCTTTGTGGTGCCCCCAACAACTTGAGACAACTATAATTCATAAAAATCCCAGGTTTAAATACTCTTTTGTAACTTTATACATTGAATTTCTTTTTAGTGACACAAAGTTTTCAAGACTGTATTATTGAATTACATAATTCATTTGCATATCAGAGTTCCTAACCAGCTTTGTTTATTTGTTGAAGTGCTGCTTTAAGGTTAATTTATATATCAAAACATGTGTTTTCATGAAGAATTCTTGGAAGTGTTCTAGAGAATTAAATATTAATTTTCCCCTTCCTATAGTAGTGATAGGGTAGTTTATCCTAGGATGTAGCCCAATTTCATTGACTATTTTCAATGTATTTACATTCAATAACATTTAATAACATAATTTACATTTATTTTTAATATATTTAATTTTTCCTTTCACATATTAATCCTGATTTGAATTTGAACTAGTATCCCTTAATAAGTAATATTTTTTTTCTCAGTTTCTTTTTAAAATCATCTATCAACAAGGCTCTGGCATTTGACAATGTATCCAAATGAGTTGATTATAATATTTCTTTTCTTGTAAGCATCTTGCAGACTCTGTTGGCTTAGATTCTGTCCCTGAAATGTCAGTAATCGCGGCATTGTTGGGGGTGGGGGAGTGGCAAATTTCCTGAAATGTCAAGTCAGATTTCAAATTTTTAAGTGAATCCATTGACTCATAAATGATCTTCCTGAGCTCCTCTACTTTCAGTTGAGTTCTTTAATCTTATTTTGCTGCTTCTCCCACTGTCTGCTGTTTTGTCTTCTAACATAACAGTAATATTCATGATAACAATAAAGAACTACAGTATTTTCACAAACATAACATAAAAATATTAAGAAGGCTATGACTGACTATATTAAGAATCTTACTGGCATCCTGAAATCAAAGCTGAATAGGAAAAACAATCAGTTAACATCTCCCAGTCTTAATAGAAACCTTTGGCACTGTAAAACAGATTTGGAAAATATCCTAATTGAAGTCTATACCATATTAATAAAATATAAAAACTATCACCTTAAGCCAGATAAGAAAGATTGACATTTTCTTACAAAAAAAGGAGGAAGGGATTGTTAGATATTCTTAGAACATGATAAATCGGTCAAAAAAAAATTTTTGGAACAAGCAGATGTCATTTGACCAAGCAATATTAAAGGTTGGTAATAAGCATATACTACTTAATAAAAATGGTTTGCCTCTGGATGAAGCTTATTAAATTGTTAAGATCCTAGAGCAAAATCAAAAGACCCTCAATGAGCAATACCTACATAAACCAAGCTGATAATAACATTGACAAAAACATCAAACAGATGGCTGAATACATTATTATTGTTGTTGAAGTATTATCCTTAAATTGCTCAGGTTTAGTGGGGAAAAAATGTAGGTTATACAAGAAACAGTAAAAATGGTACGACACATCCCTGCAAACTATAAAAGTTTAGAACGTAAAACTTATCAAGACTCAATCTAGCAGCTAGACTTACGTATTGACCATCTTTTCATAGACTGATGAATGACAAACCTCCAAATTACAATACAGACTTCAAATATCCTGGAGAAATTAACCACTAAACTCTCCTGCAACTAGACCATTGTCACAGACCAAAACTGCTACCCACAATCACATGGAAATAACATTGATTCATAAAACCTTAAGAACATGTTCAGTGGACTTCTCCATACTAAGTACTCATATTCTGCAAGCTAGATGAAATAAAAAGCATTCATAGTATAGTTATGTCATGTAGATACCTATTTCTGTTGTCCTACCTGCTAGTGCAGTTTTATCAAGAATACTCTTAGCAAGCCTACAGAGAATGAACTTACTCCCTAATACTTCAGCCATAAAAATAATTTGTTTTATTAATCTATTCAGTACTCCTTAGGACATTAAATACAAAAGAATAATAGCTGAATGGTGACTTGTTCCAGGGTCATTTCTATTTGAATCTCATTGAATAACATAAGAAAAAGATGATAATAATAATACCTGACATTCATATAGCCCTTTAAAATTTGCAGAACTCTTTTACATTATCTTTTTGATGCCATAATGACCCCATGAGTTAGGTGCTATAAATTATACTGTTCTTATGTTACAGATCAGGAAACTGAAGCTGAACTTTAAGTGACTTGTCCAGGGGTGCACCCAAGTTAGGTGACAAAGGTGTGAAACTCAAATCCTGGTCTCCTGAATCCATATCTAGAACCCTTTTCACTATACCATGCTCATTGAATACATATTTTAATTTACATTTTCAGCAGATTTCTCCATTGTTTTCTCTTCTATTTTATTACTCATACTCCTTTACTAATTGCAGATCTTTTTTTAACTAATGTCTCTTAATTTTTACTAACAACACCAGTTCTTCAGTTATTTCTCTTATGATGTGTATTATACAGTTTGATGTGTTATGAAAGTCTGTGTCATAAGTTCAGAATTGGTTGTCAGATAACAAGTTTAACAAATTATGGAGGATTCTCCATCATTTCCTAAATAGTCCCAGGAAGACAGCAGATGTCTCTCTAATTTCAGGTTGACAAATACATATATCAATATCTTTTCTATAGGGTATCAATCCTCTCTACTTATTATCCTCCTAAGACATGTAATAGATAATTTCTCACCTGTCAATAAGCATACAGCCCCATTTTCATTCCTTAAAGCAGCAGCAGCTGCTTCATGCTCAGAATCAAGCTTTATTTCCTTAGCCCAGAGCAGTCCATGGTCTTCCAGAATCCTTTCTACTCTATGTTCTTCTGACACAGGTTAGAATTGCCTTCAACTTTGTCATATCTTTTGATGTCTTTGTTTCTAATTTGGAATCTTCTTCCATTATTTTAAGATCACTTTATTCTCTGCAGTAACTTAAAGCATAGAGGAATACTCCACATGCAAAGTGTCTTAAAGCTCCCCATAGGGTTTAACCATTAAGCCTGTGGTCAAACAAGTAGGATGAGGCAAGCACTGTTTCTTCCTAGGGAAGAAGCACAGGGACTTGCTACCACCTTCATGAGAAAATTTTTCCCAGTTCTTTCTGTTGCTCCTAAATATCTACAATCTTCAGATAAGCCACTTGGAACCATATTGTATATTTGGTGTATTTTTCATAAGTACCTCAAGCAGCATGGAAAATATGCCCCATAGGCAGATCAACTTGACTGTCACATCAGTATTTTAATTTCTGTTATAAACTTAATACTCATCAACAAACGTTAATATTTTGGTATTACAAAGATAAAGAAATTTTGTATGTGAAGCAGTGAACTCCATAGGTACAGAATGTTTTCCCTCCTTCTGCCTCTTAAAATCCTTTTGTTTCCTTCACAACTCTGTTTATCTGCTGCTAGTAGTGCCCTCTCTCTCTCACCAATAAAAATGACCTTGTATTTATTTTGTATACACTTATGTATATGTCTCCTCCAATAGAAAGTAATATCCTTCAGAGCATGAGGCATTTCATTTTTTAACTTTCTATCCCTAGCTCTTAGCAAAGTTCTTGGCCCATAGTAGACACTTAATAAGTGATGGTTGAATATATTCTGATGTATGCAAGACCATTTAAAGTTCTGGCAGTTAAAATCTTTTTAAAAAATCAAAATAAATCAAAATTGAAGCATGCCAGAGGAAAACACAGATTTTGCTATCTATAAAAAAAATTCAGTGATTTGTGGATTTGGGGGTTTATGAGAAGAAATCAAAATAACATTTTAATGGTTTTATAGTTTTGCTGCATCTAAGAATATAGATGGTTTCAACCTAGAGAAAAGTATATTACAGACATAGCCTCCTAAAATATAAATTTAAAGCTGATATTAGGTGCGGAAAATTGCTTTTTCCAGCTGTCTAAATTTTATTTTGTGGTTGGTGCTTATTTAATGTGTATCTAAGCAAAATTCTATATTTGCCAGGTCATTTGATGGAATCTTAGTTATAGCTATAATGAATTGTTTGTGAGTAAAATAAATTTAGAACAATGTTTTGTAAAACACGCTATATATTTTTGCAACCCCATGAGAGAGGATCTGCTTTTATACAATGATATCAAACTTTCATTGAGACTGTTATTTTATAGCATATATTCCTCATTTATTGTCTGCATCACTCAATTTGTACTTAGTGTGTGCTGTTTTGAATTGTTAGCTGTTCTTCGTGTCCAAGAAGAGCTCCTTGAAGAGAGGTATTTTGTCGTGGAGCTGTTTGTACCTCTGATGTCTTAAACATCATAATCACTGATATTAATATGCAATTATACTTTTCTTTTTGCTGTCGCCAAATACTATGAAATACTTGTAAGCTCAAAATCAACTTTGTCATATATTATGCCTCTCATAAACCTTAAAGGTAAGGTTGAAAAGGCATGTGAGGTAGGTTTGCCTATCTTAGGATAATATCCAAACTCAGTTGTTGTCTTTTCCCCACAAATTTTATTCTACATATTATATATAAGTATTTACTGACAAAATCACATTTTAAAGCCTGAACTTGCTACGATTTTCTTTCATAACAGGAAAGAGTGGCCCTGAATGCAAACACTGTAATGCAGACCCAGATAAGGAATGCCGGTTTTGCTCCTGTTATTTATGTGGTGGCAAGCAAGATCCAGAGGAGCAGCTTCTCTGTGACGAATGTAATATGGCCTATCATATCTATTGCCTGAATCCTCCTCTAAGCAAGGTTCCAGAAGATGACTGGTAAATATACTGTCTATCATGCAGATACTTCTATTAGTTAATGATTATTTAATGTTAAATCTTCAGTGCTTATTAACTATGTGGTATATCTATGTGTATGTGTGTTATATATATTATATATGTATATATGTGTGTATATATATATATTATATATGTGTGTGTGTGTGTGTGTGTGTGTGTGCGTGTGTGTGTATACACACACGCACACGCACACACAATCTATTTGTTTTTCCGAGATTTAAGATGAGCAATTTTGGATATTTTATCTATTTTTTTAGCAAGTTATTAAGTCTTCACTCAAGATTCAGTTTCCTCATCTGCATAAAAGAGGTTGAACAAAATGTCTTACAAGGACTCTTCTAATTCTGAATCCTTCTGTCTTAAGTATATGAAGAAATTTTTGTGTAGATACCAGATTGTTCATATTGAAATTCTTGGATAACTTTGAGAGGGAGAAACAGTTGTGTTCATAAACACACAGGTTGATAGAACCTGTTATCCAATCCTGCTAGTTCTTTTCATCTTCATACACTTATTTTCCCTGTTCCTTAAACATTACTAACACCTTTGCAAAAGCTAGGTTAAAAAAGAAGGAGTTGTGCAGGGAGTATTGCACAGAAACAGAGGTAATGAAGACAATATAAAGCTAAATCTTGCTTTTTTTGGTAGACAGGTGGAGGGCCATGGTTCGCTGTTTCATACACTGTTAGAAGTGTTCAACGTATCCATTGATTTTCCTTAACTGTTTTCCTTTGCTAGAAGGAAGGGCTTATGGCAGGGGAAGTGTAGGGGTTGATATTCTGCAAGGACTGTTATTTCAAAACAAAAGGCATCAATAAAAATACCTCCCTACCCCCTCACCCTCAAAAAAGATAAGGTACTGGCTGGCAGAAATAGAATAAAAATGGAAAGAGAGTAAGTGATTCTCTGCACAGGTTACTCTCGTCTTTAAGCCTTTGTATTTACTGTCCCACATACCTAGAATGCACTCCTCGACTCTCCCTTATAGTCATTTTGTGTCTATTTTAGTTATAGATAGATGGATAGATAGGAGAGGGTATAGTGAGGTGTTAACAATCAGTGGTCCCGTATCGGCGAAACACCTTCCCCCACCTCAGATGGTGAAGAGCCAGCTTTTTAACTGAAAACTGACTCTGTCTCCAACAGCTCTAACTTTTCATCCTGCTAAGTCTCCCCTGGGCTTGGCTATTCAAAGCCCCAGGACTTTTGACTGCTTTTCAGCCCAACTAACTCTGTTTCCCTTTTTGACTAGATCCAAGATAGACATGTTCAGATCTAGTAAATGACTACATCAACTTAAAAGGGAGTAATTATGGCAAGGAGATGAAGTTCGCTTTTACATATGTCATATTGTCTTCTCTTTGGAACATAAGCTTCTTGAGTTCAGAGACTTTCATTTTGACTTTATATCACCAGCACTCAGCACAGTGCCAGGCACACAGTAAACAATAAAGGCTTGTTGATTAATCATATCCTTGTAGATCTAGGTCCTGAGGCACATGTGACTCCTAATAAGGCAAGAAGAGAAAGACAGTTGGGGGGGGGGGGAATGAAAAATGTACTGAAGTTAATTCCATTCACATTAATGAGTTTTTTTGAAGCATCTACTTGCTCTGAAAGCACTGTGCTAAATCCTAGGATAATAAAGACAAGACAAGACAAAACAAAGCAAAAAACCTGACTCTACCCTGAAAAAGTTAAATTCTTCTGGACTAGTTAAATGAGTTTAACTACTTGTTAGAAAACTGAAGAAAGGTATTTTAAAGGACGAAAGGATTTTTTTTAAAGAAGAAAAAATGAGACTTTCCTACCACATTATTAAAGTGACCCATACATAAATAATTCTTGGAAATTGACATATTATATTCCAGGGCAGTGAAAGAAATAGGCCTTGCTCGTCCATGTTCAGTAAAAATATGATGGCTTATATTTGTTGAGTGAATAAATGAATGAATGAATATGAGAATCACTGATTCAAAAAAAAAAGTGCTGTAGTATAAATCTTTTTAAAAACAAACAAAAAAACCCTGTACTACTTTGTCAGGGTATCTTCAAAAGATGGATTTTTCTCTGTTTTTTGAATGATAGAAAAGATGACTTTTCTACCAGGAAAGAATGAAAATCCCTGTCATTTTTATCTCTTTTGATTACTCCACAATTTTTTTCTTTACCTCAGCAAATAGTGTAGGTTTTGTATTCTTTTCTTAAGAGATATATTTTACTTTCAAGATTGTGATATCCTGAGAAGGCAGATGTTTTGAGGATTCCTTAAGTTTCATCTTGGTTATATACTTAATTACATCTTAGCACAATGGAAAGGACCCTAATTTGAAGCTATAAGGATCTTGGGTCAGTTCCTGACTCTGCTGCTTAACTACCTGAGTGACCTTGGGCAATTCAATTGATTGCTCTGGTCCTTAGTTTCTTCATCTGTGAAATGAGGGGATTAGACTAGATAATTTCTTAGATCCCTTCTAGCCAAAGAACTGTGTGATCTGTCCTATCAAAGATAACATCTTAGACTGCCTGAAGTGCTCGGGTTGCTATTCCTCATTCCAAAGACAGATTTATTCCTATTAATTATCCTATTCTTGAGGAGAAGAGATTCCAAAACATTGTGTCTCTCGTGTCTCTAGTTAGCTGATATTATTAATCAATTAGAAGTTATTTGGCTGTAACTTTTGTGATTCCCTCAGACTTCCCTAATATCCTCCCTAGGGATTCAGACCCCAATTTAAGAAATAGTATTATTATGTGGAAGCCTTCAGACCTCCAATCCTAATGAAGTTGACAGCTCTACTTAGGGCTTCCAGGTAAAAGGACTCATGAACCCAGTTATTTTAGCCCTGGGAAATAAGGCTTTGATAGTATGTAGGTTACTGATAGTTGTTTTTTGGTTTTTTTTTTCCTTCAACAATGAACAAAGCTGAACTTATGGTTATAGAATTTTTCAAGCTAAAAAGTATCTATGGGGACACGCAAAAGCTCATTGGTGGGTAATCTAGGTAAAATCCCATTACAGTAAATACAACAAAGAACAATCTTGGTTTTGTAGGACATGTCCCAGGGATGGCTGCATTATAACAGCAGTGTCTTATTGACAGATAATTTTCTGACTTTTTTTAATCAGCATCATTTTATGAAGGCTTTGTGATATTTTAGTCATGTCTTTTTTAAGGATTTTGAATTCTAATGGAATATTTTTATTTTGACTTAAATATGTAAATTTTTTAAAGAAATAGATTTAATTCTTTAATACCAGAAATCACCTGTTTGCTATATGCTCCCTATGGTATAATTGTCAAAAATAAAGAAATTTGTTCTACTTATTCTCTGTTACAGCAGTTTATTCTGCTGGGTTTTTTTTTTCTCAACACCAAATATATCAAACTTTTACAGCTCCACCCCTGCTCTTTTTTTTTTTAAAGGTATTGTCCTTCCTGTAAAATTGATTCAAATGAAGTTGTAAAAGCTGGCGAAAAACTCAAACAGAGTAAAAAGAAAGCAAAGATGCCATCTGCTAGTACTGAAAGCCATAGAGACTGGGGCAAGGTAAAGAGAAAAATAGCTTTTTGTACTTCTAAAATTGTGTTGATATCATTTACTGACAGTTTAGTATGTAGTAGCCATCTCTGCATTTAGAAATTTTGTTCAGTTGTTTGTTTTTTTTAGTCTTGTCCTACTCTTTGTCACCCCATTTGGGGTTTTCTTGGCAAAGATACTGGAGTGGCTTGCCATTTCCTTATCCCACTCATTTTACAGATGAGGAAACTGAGGCAAACAGGGTTAAGTCACTTGCCTAGGGTCACATAGCTAGTAAGAGTTTGAGGCCAGATATGAACTCAAAGACAGCAGTCTTCCAGACTCCAGGTTTGGCACTCTACCTACGGTGCCACCTCGCTGCCCCATTTAGAAATAGTGAGTGGTAGATAAGATTAAAAATTTAGGATTGTAGCCAAACTTTGATCTTCCTTAATGTATGGATGTTAAAATTTTGTTCATATTTGAGTAATGATAAAAGTTTTGTTTCAGGACTAATTGAGAACAGTGGGTTATTCTAATAACGAATTTATATCTTGTGACTATAAAGGGAATGGCCTGTGTTGGTCGAACTACGCAATGTACTCTGGTTCCTTCTAACCACTATGGACCTATACCTGGTGTTCCTGTTGGAACCACATGGAAATTTAGAGTCCAGGTAATTTGCTTCATAATTATCTTGTCGAATTATTTAAAGAAAAAAGTTTTTAGTGTTAATAGATCTGATAAAAGCACAACATGAAGTAGATCATAGAATAGACTTTTAGAAGATAGCTTTGCAAAGTAGAATATATGGATTTTAAAAATATCTGGATTTCAACCCTTTAAGTTATATAATTTTTCTCAGCATTTTTTAAAATGATTCTGTAACTTTGTACTATAGGTTCTGATTTAAAAGTAAAAGGCTGTTATTAAGATAGGGGGTTTATTAGCTTTGCCTGGACTCATAAAATGGCCTTCCTAAATGGTATAAGTCAAGAGTTTGAGAAAGCTAAAGTAGTCAACTGTGTGCGAATAGAATAGAATGTCTGCCCAGCATCCTTCTTCTAGAAAAAGACCCAGAGGCTCAGTTTATTCCTGGTTTCCCCCTGTGATTTTGATAAATTACATTGTCAGTGAAGAAAAGTCTTTAAGCATGAAAAAAAGTCTAAGGCAGACTTTTTCCCCGTTGGCAACCCATGACTTCACACTTCAAAGTCTTCAACTTTAAAGGCATCTTCTTCAGTGTTTCTTGACTGATGCTGATATGTCTTTGAATTAGTATTCCTAGACTATGTAATAAAAAGATGTAAGTGTATCTCAAGGTAGTTTAACAGCACTGATGATTAATTTAGTTAATAAAAATCACTAAATCCTAAGCTCTTACCAGGAACCCACCTACCTTTAATTTTGCATAGTGTATGTGTGTCTTTTTTCTGGTTTCAGAGCCTTGTCAACTTCAGCCATTACCATGGCTTTCAGAGTAATCCCTGTACCATCTTTGGATTTACTTCACTAAAGATAAAAGACAATTTTTGCTAAATGCTTTACTGAAACCTAGTTTCTTCCATATTTCAAAATAACCTGTTGTTAGAATCCCTCTATACCTTAGTTTTGAGGGTTGCTATGGCTATATAAGTTACCATCTAGTGGCCAGCATTTGAGTTTGAGGCCTTTTTGCATTTACTTTGTCCAATCCTAGATTTGTGTCCATTTTGGTAAAATCTGCCAGAAACTGTGTGCCGGTAACAACCTTCAAAATCCCTAGTCACTTTCACAGGACAAATGAATAGTTTTCAAGCATTAGATTTTGACAACTTGTATTTTATGCTTATGTAGCACAAATAATACTGTATCTGATGAAATAGGGCAATGCAAACCAGCTCATATGAATAGCTATCAAGCAGTTATATCCAAGATTGGATTTTAATATATATATATTAAAATTATTCATTGATCACCACTACAAGGCAATTTTCTATAAGTTTTTAAGTTTGGTTGCATCCAACTGAAGTAATAAAATAATTACTGGGTAATTCAAATGCAACTATCATTTTATTTGAACTGACCCAGATGCCTGTATTGTGTAGGAACAGGCCTCTTACTCTTAAAAAATTCATATGAGCTACAAAAATATATATATTTTTAATACATATATATTATATATTTTATACATAAAAATAAATTTCTTGAGTTCTGTGCCCAAGAAGACCAATAAGGACTTACATAATTCCAGCCTAAGAACTCTTAGAAAAGTTTTAATATTCACTTTGATCCTAAAGAATATGATGTAAAATATTTCTCTAAAATGGTTTTGATATTTCTAAATTTTAAGCACATGCCAATCTTTTTAACTTTTTAAATAAATGCTGTATTGTAATTTGATAGAAACCATGTCCTAAATATCCCCAAATCTATAACTTTTAAAACTATATACATTTACTAGTACAACTTTACCGTTAGATGTAATTGCCTGTCCAGTTTTAGAATGCTCCTAGCACTATCATATCCTAAAGTCCTGTTAGCTCAATATCAGATTCTTGATTGGTTATGTTTTTGTTCTAAATAATTACTTGTTAAAGGTCAGTGATTCCTCAGTTCTTTCAGAATTTCTTTTTGTTAAATTTAAAGGTGAGTGAGGCAGGTGTTCACAGACCCCATGTTGGTGGAATTCATGGACGAAGCAATGATGGGGCATACTCACTTGTGCTGGCAGGAGGCTTTGAGGATGAAGTAGTAAGTCCAAAAGTATCATAAAAATATCTTGACTAAGTCTAGCAGTAAGTTGATTACTCATTATTTTAAAAATGAATGTTGTATTTAATTACTCTTATCTTAGTTTAAACTGAAAATTGAGCAGATTCTTATATCAATTATATTAAATTGCCATTCTATTATAGTTAACTGATATTGGGGGAGAAAGGACGTCTTTCAATTAAAATGTTTCATCTTGGAAAATTTGACAGTAAAGGTAATAATTTGACACATTTATTAACATTTGCTAAATGAACTCTATAATAAAATAAAATTAATTTATTTCAAAGTTACAAAATACTTAAAACATATTCACATTGTTACTTCATAAAATAAGCTGAAAAGCTTAGAAATCGTGACAAATCTATGAGTATGAAATTTGAGAGTTATGTTGATACTCTAACATAGCAGTTTCAATTGAAAACATAACAGATTTAGGTTAGTTCATACTTGATAAGAGAACTAAAAATAAACATTTCAAAGCAGATATTAACTTTGTTAGCTTCAGTAGGCTTTGCTTGATAGCCTTTTAAAACCTCTGCATGGTGGAATAAGAGCTGATCATCCATTAACATTCATTGATCACCACTACAAGGCAGTTTTCTATAAGTTTTTAAGTTTGGTTGCATCCAACTGAAGTAATAAAATAATTACTGGGTAATTCAAATGCAACTATCATTTTATTTGAACTGACCCTGTATTGTGTAGGAACAGGCCTCTTACTCTTAAAAAATTAAAATAAATTTTGTGTGGGTATTTCTTTGTGCAATTCAGTGCTGTACAATTTAGGAGCCTATTATAGGTGATCAGTAAAGTATGGAGAAAGATACTCTTTTTAAAATATCTTTTATAATCAAGTCCAAATAGCCATTAAGGAAATAGAAGAAATATACACATTAAGTAGCATCAGAACATGCTTATTTTTCACCCGCAGTGTTCACCCAACTGATACTATCACAGGAGTTTCCCTCTCTAATGGAGAAGTCCCATAAAGAGTTCTCTGTATTCAAACTTTGCTATTATCCTGGAATAAAATTCAATCCAAGTCCTAGCCTTCATAATAATTGTTAAATCCCAATAAATATGTTGCACACGTATAGAACTAACTGAGGGGCAAGATGCTGATATTTCTGGTGTTTATTTTGCCGTCTCTCAATGACAGTTTCCGCCACTTCTGGAATAATAGCTTTCTAGAAATGCCTACAAGTTGTGGGGGAGACAGCTATACTAGTGGCTGAGTTGAACATATTAGATGTTAGGATAAATCATAGATTCCCGAAGTGGGCAATCCCAACCTCTGGGAGGAGCTGAAATGATGTGGGGAGGAGAGGAAGGGGCATTGTAGCCTTAGGTGCAGTTTTGGGGGGGTGTTGAATAAACATAAGTATTAGCCTAACCTAACTTGGGGGAGGGGAAGTGGCGGTGTGCTGAGTGATTTTTTTTTTTTTGAGGGGCAGTAAGTTTGGAAACCTCTAAGACTCTCTCATCACTGCCTGATTAGGAACACCCTAGCTTTAAATATTTACAAAGTTATGAAGTAGTCTCTTTTTCTTCTTACTGAACACAAGTGTGATTGTTCAGCATGGGATTTTTATTGTTCAATGCATTCAACAGAAAAGTGATCTCATGATGGGATCAGAGATTTACAATTTGGTAGGTAGCTTAGAGAGCATCTATTCCAGTGTTATTTTACCTGGAGGTCCATGAACTTGCTTTTTTTCCCCTCAGTCTTTTAATAACTGTATTTCAATATAATTGGGCTGCAGAGTGAGAACTCTTTTCATTGCACTGTCCTCTTAATGATATACTGGTAGGACAATGAAAGAAAAGCATGTTCGTTGTAAATATTACAACTAAAATATCAGAAGGAAGGAAAAAAGCTGGTTGTAAAATGCTCTTAAATGAAGTTGCTTATAAAGAAAAGCCATAAAAATACAACCTTGAAGCATGGAAGTAGCTTTAGGGAGAGTCTGGTCTCTGATTTATATGCCCTTCTTTCTCTATGAATTATAACTCATTCTTGGTACATTTTACACCCTCCCCCCCCCAAAAAAAAAAGCTAGTTTGGGGCAAGTAATTGTTAGCAGGGAGGCCAGAGACTTCAAAGTACTTCACCAGTAAGTCCAATTATTTCTAGCTATAGTAGAAGGCAATGACCACCCTAGGTTTCTGCGTTCCCTCTCCACCCAGCATCTTGAGATAACACATTTTTTTAACTAGTCATCCTGCATTTGCCTGAGCTTTAGAAGGGTAGTCCATATTCTTCTAATTTCCATTCTTGCCTCAATTCATATGAACCTTAAATATGGCCATGTAATTTACATAGGGAATTCTAAATCTATATTCCATAGAAATTTTAAAAAATATATTAATAGGGGATAGGAACTGAAGTAAATGAGATATACTTCCTTTATTTAACTTTATTCTCAATACAAACTTTTCCTGTATTTAAGATTACAATATTATATAAATGTTAGCTGTTAAATATTCCAAATTAATCATTTCTTAGGCTCCTTTATGATGTACTTCACAAGACTGTTGTGAAGATCAAGTGAGATGATATATGTTAAGAGCTCTGTTAACATTAAAACACTACATAGCTGCAAACCATCATTGTTACTATTGTTTCATGAAAGGGTAGTTTTTGCTTCAGAAAATGAAAGGGTTGAGGAATATTTACTGGCAATTTTTTTTCTCTTAAGTTAATCAGATGTTCTCTGCCCTGTTTTGAGAGACAAGAAAATCATCTTTGTTTCTGACATCTTTTGAAAAAAGATAAGTGACAAAAAATAAGACAACTCATCATCACTGGGGTATATCCTTAAAAAAGGAGAGGGAATAAAATGTTAGAAGCAGTGCCATTACAAATAATTATTTTCCTTGTATTTAGAGTTTCCTATTCTGAAGAATCATAAATGTTTGAAAATAACCTCTGAAAAACTTGTCATCTTCCTTATTTCTCTAGAGGATTAATGAGAGGATCACAATATAAGCAACTGTCTGGAGAAGGGGACTTGATGAAAAATTAGCTTACTCCATATTATAAATAAAAGGGTAAGCATTAGGGGTTAGTAAGTCGAATAATAATGTCCCATCTTTCACCAAATTCCCACTCATATTCTCCCTAGTGTCATCATTGCCCAGTAACTTTCATAGATAGATAAAACATGTACCCCATAATGGTAAATGAAAATAAATTTTAAATTTTAGAGACTAAAGATATCAAGTGTGATTATTCCCTGGAAAAGTTTGAAGACCCTTTTATCTAAAAGCTGGGCTTTTTCACATAAACTTAGAATGTGTTCTTGAGGATAATATACATTTGAAATTAGGTCAGCTTCTTATATAAAATTTGCCCTTTTGTCTTCTTAATAGTGTGAGTGTCTTCAGAGGTGCTGGAGTGGGTCTCTGCTAGCTGTGTTATGGATTCCCTGTATGTATAAAGAGTCTGCTATTTTAGAACTGACATTCATGACCTAGGATAAATAATTTCTGGCTCTCTTCCCCCTTTCAGCTTCTCACTGGACAAATAGAGCAAATAGATGCTCCCCTCTTTGGTCTGAGGCATATTTTGATGGGAGTTAATGGGAGAATATATGAGCTCTTAGAAACCACAATATTTACATAGATCCTTGGGGAGGAGGTACCTTTATAAGAACAGGGATGGCATTTATGAAACTTAATATTTAGTTTATCTTCCCCATGGAAATGACCCAGTGAACATAGGCAAATGTAGTTAAATTCATGATTTATATCAGGAGAAATAAATTCAAACCATTCAACAAGCACTTGAAAATAATAGCTGACATCACATGAAGCTTTGTGACATACTTGACGTACATATATTGTGTCCCTTGGCTCTCACAACAGTCCTATGAGGAAGGTGCTTATTATTGCCAATTGACTGTGGAGGAAACTGAGGTTGAGAGGTTAAGTGGTTTGTCTAGAGTCACCGAGCTAGTAAGTGAGGCAAGATTCAGGCCAAATATTCCTGAATCTGAAGTCCAGTCCACTATACCAAGGGTGTCAGACTTAAGGGCCAGCAAAACTAAGTGCAGCATGAACCAGATTAAAATGTAATTGGGAAATGTTTAACAAAATTAAAATATAATACAACATAGGTAATGTCCACATGTTTTCTAAGTCTGCATGTGCCCTGCAGGGATCCATTTCTATTAGTCTGACACTCTGTAGAATCTGGGTGCTTAGTATATACCTGGCACCTCCCTGAGCACATAGAGATGAAAGGGAAAGGTTCTTCCCTCAAGGAGATCACATTGTAGTAGAGGAGATGACATGATTGTATATTATGTACACTAAAATGGCTTCTCTTTCAGTCAGGTCAGTCAGTCAAACATTTATTAAGCCTGCTATGTGCCACACACTGTACTTAGCTCTGGGGACTCAAAGGCCGAAAAATCCTGCTCTCAAAAAGCTCGATTTGATGGGGGAAACAATATGCAAACAATTATATACGAAAGATACAGAGGATACATTGGAGATAATCAACAGAAGGAAAATATTAGCATTAAAGGGGTTCAGGAAAGACTTCTTGGAGAAAGTAGGATTTTAGCTGGGACTTGAAAGGATTCAAAGAAGCCAGGAAATGGAAATGAAGGAAAAAAGATTTTCAGGCATGAGGGAGAGCGAGTAAAAGAGTTGGAAGATACAGTGTTTTATGTGGGGAACAGGAAGGAAGTTAGCGTCACTGGATTATAGAGTACATGGGAGTATATAAGTTTTTAAACTGGAAAAGTAGGGGAGGGGACAAGTTTTGAAAGGCTTCGAATGCCACAAAAATAAAAGGGGGTTTTATGTTTAATTCTGATGGTGATGGAGAACAAGTAGAATTTCTTGAGTAGGAAGTTGAGAGGTCAGTACTGTGCTTAAGGAAAATCACTCGACAGCTGGGTGGAAGATGAACTTTGAGGATTGGTCTTGTGGATAGAAATTGGGGGGGAACAGTATCATGAAAATCCAGA